TCTATCTATACTGTATACACTAATGTAGTTTTTATAATTTTATTGCTGTCTGAATGAAATAAAAGGGACATTTAAATAAATAAATTAAAATCACAGAGGTTATGGGTGATGGGACCTCTACACGGTCACTGTCTCCTCCTACACTCATCCCATCCCAAAACATCGTCATGGAAAATTTGAAGTCAACATGACAAAAAAACAAAAAAACAAAACATTTAGAAATGGGAGAGTTAGTCTGTTTCTGTGGCAGTTCGGGTTGGGCTGCGTCCATTGCGCACTCCCATCATGCTCCTCTCGATCAACACAACGCGCATTCCTCTGTGCGTTGACTTTGATGGTCCAGGGGACTATTTCCTCTTTATTTTTCATGTCTTGGCCGGGGTTAGCACCGTGCTGGTGGCCGGCTCCGTGGCTTTAGGTATCAGTAATACCCATGCACTTTTAAGACAAAATCGATTCATATTTATGCTTAACACAAGTATCTGTGACACAATGACCGGCGGTGGCATTTTCTATCAATTTCTCTTTGATGTGCGAGTGGGGTTCCCTTCTAAAAACGGGACTTATTACATTTTACCGTCTCTCCTCGGAGTTAATATCATGACCTTTCTATTCGCTCAGTTTGATCGATATTTTGCGGTGTGCCATCCATTCTTTTATGATCGTTTTATCGGCACAAGAGTGATTGTTTGTGTCAACGTGTATTGCTGGGTGCATGTTTATGGTATGCTGATCGTACAACATCTGGTGCCACTTTCAAAAGCCATAGAGATCGGAATATACAGCAGAATCAGTCTGATGCTGATTATTTTCACAAAAATAACCATGACGATCAAGTTGTTCACAGTTGCGAGGTATCAGCTCCGGCGAGAGCCGCCGGGCCCGGAGAGAGACAGCAAGAAGGAGTCACTGTTGATCATAGTGGTGGTGGTGGTGTTTTTTCAGCTGCTGTGGGGCCCATCCATGCTCTATACGATCCTGTCTTCTCTGACGGGAAAATATTATGTCATGAAAAATGACGCCGTTAACCCAATGAAAATTTTATCCAGGAGCAACGCTCTGTTTACCCCCTCCCTCTACCTGTGCGCCAGCCCCTCACTCAGGACGGCCGTGTGGAAAACTGTGTGGAGCAAAATCTTCTGCTGCAAACGACCCAGAAGGTGGGTTTGCACCAATAAGCAGTTAGTGCAATAACACTGCAAACGATGACCAAATGTAACTTATTCATGCGTAAAAGTGTGGCAAAATACCACAGCAGTGGCATTTTAAATGTAAAGTAGCCTAAATCATCAATTGTTAATAGTTTACATCGGAATTCAGCCAATTAAAGGGCAGAGACATATGGCTGATATTTCAGGTTTCAATGCTCATAATGGCTTGTGGCATGTTTTTAATGGCCAACCCTGTCTCCTAGCTCTAAACCCATACATCCTTTTTATGCTAAGTACTCATTTGCATCAGTTTAGGAGGAAACGTTATGTCAATGCAATGAGAAAACGTTGTTAATCAACATATCCGGTAAGTCGCAAATTGTTGAAACTGTCAGTAGCAGTAAAAGAGACCTATGTCATTTGTTTTCTGCCAAAATATCCGCTCTTTCAATCAAACGCCTGCGCTAAAGCATTATTAAAGTAGGCTATTGTTTGGGTGCAGAACATAAACGTTGCCTGTAAACACACAGTAATGCAGGCAGCAAGTATTCTCACCACAGTTAACTGGGGAAACAAACTGGTGTTATATAAACATCATTTATAAGGTTGCCTTAATGTGTAAAATAATTGTTCACAGCTTTGTTTAGCCTGCTATGACAAGTCAACACGTCTGCAGTGAAAGAGGCCTGTTAACAGCTCAACCCTGTAAATGGTTTATCACAACCTGTTTCCTCTAAACTTTAGATAGGACAACATAAATTCTCGTGCAATTTGATTTAGGCTAACTTTATTGACTTAATGGCAATGTTGGATCGATTGTTTAATTATCAAACGTGCAGATTTAAGGGAGGCAAGGATATCAGAACATATAGGCTAATTGTCTATAAGCTTTCTTTCTTTTTTGTGGCAAATGCTGGATTACAAAAGCATTCATCTTTTCACAATGTAAAACAATGTGTAGCTCAAGGGTGTTATGTCAAATTTTAGCCAGATAATAATATTATTAATAATAGCCTACTAATAATAATTCACAATTGATAACAATGACAATTGTTCTTCTCATAGGACTGGTAAGGTTGACGGGGTGATTTGGAAGATTTCACAGTGAAAAAGAACTCATCTTTCTGTCTGTTTGAGTGTTCAAACAATTAGACTGCAGGTTTGTAAGATAAGATAAGATAAGATAGACTTAATTGATCCCACACTGGGGAAATTTACTGTGTTGGAAATGTTATAAAGTCTTGAAAATACTGTGTTTTGTATGGCAACCTGTCTTTCTCCCACAATGATTCAGCCAAACTGTAGTTCTCCTGTACAGCTCAGACCATAAATGTCTATAAAGTCATACAATCACAGTACTAAAACAATAAAATGTCCTCTGTTGTTGTACACTACAAATTTTTCAGCTTCTGCGTTGCAGGAGTCAATTGTGGACAAAAAGAATGAATTCATTTTTTTGTGAAAGTAAGCGCACAAGGAATTTCTTGCTAATTTCTTAATTGTTTTTATTTGTAAAACAGTCTTAAAGACACAGTAGATGTGATTATTTATGCTTATTGTGAGTTTGCTGTAAATTCTATTTGTTGTTATTATTACTTTTTTCTTGCATGTATTTGCATTGTGTTTGAAATAAAAATCTAATCTATTCTAACCAAACCTGTCTCCCCATTAGGAGATATAATAGGTAAGTTGAGGATCTTTCCATAAATACCAACTCAACCTTTTAACCTATAAAACAGTGTGATCTGTAGGATCAATTTCAAAACCTAAATTGAGGAGTATTATGGCAGGAGCAGTGCACATCAGCCCTCCGTCTGAATTCTTTCTAAAGACTTTTACTAATGCAGTTTATGTACTTTGCACATTTGCAAAGACTGACTGACGCATATCTGCTGTCTGTGAAAATGTCCAGTTTTGTCTTTTTCATGTTTACATACCTCTGTGAATGCGACTAGCTCTGCTGTCTGTGCAGAATAATTTCCTGGGCGTAGTTTTGCCATTATTTGTCATGCAAGATTGTAATTGCAAAACCTGCTAAATTTTTTTTACCAGTTGCTGGGTGTCTTGAGGCTGAGCTGTGTATAAACAGCTCCAGATCTGCATTGGTCAAAGTATCTTGTAAATCTGGCCTGGGAGAGCAAGCTTCAGTTATTACTGCAACACCTTCATGCAGCTGTCCATCACCTGGAGTTGGGAGAAGAGTAGCAGAGTTAATGACAGTGCATCTTTTAACTGTGGTGTTTGGTATGTCAAACAGAACGGTGTTATACCTGAGCGACCTTGCTGTTCAAATATTGGAAGTTTTTTGTTTAAGCTAATGTGGACAATGTGGACCCAGTTAAACTCAGGTCCTCTGATACTAACTGGTCTTTTTTCGGGGGTTGGACAGCTAAGACAGCTGAAGACAGACAGGAAAGGGGGTATAGAGAGGGGATGACAAGAGATGCTGCAGAAGTGCATTACCCAAATCAACAACATAAAACCATTGATTGTCAGATTGAACTTCAGAGAGGATTGTGTGTGGATTTGGAACATTTGGTGCTCATGCGTGCATTTACTGCTTGCAAACCCTGAACACTCCTCTGGCCGTCCAGCATCGCTGAACTTTCTTTGTCTTTCCATAAAGTTTCTTATGTCATCCATCAAAGGGTTCTACTTTTCAAAAAGACAGTATCCCTTTATCCCTGTTGGAGCATTACTCTAACACAGTAACACATTCCTGAGTTCTGGGGCAATAAACAGATTAAAGGTTCATGCAGCCTCTTGAACATGTTGTGTTTGGTTTTACAATGACCAGGTAAAGGTTCTTAAAAAATTCTTATTACAATTACAATTATATTTCATTATGTTCCCCTTAAATTTGAAGAAATATGCTTCATTGTCAAAAGCTTTAATTGACATTTCTTTGAACAAAAAATAAACTGAAAAAAGGACGTAAAAACGTAAATGCTTATTAATATTTTTAAATGTTAAGCCCATATGTAAAAGTGAGATTAGGTCATGACTCATGGGAGTAAAGCTGTTTGAGTTTACACGTGGGGTGGTTTATCAACCAGCTTTATAATGTCATTAAATCAAAGCTGCAGCATTGAAACAATGCTCCTCTTCAACTCCACAGACCCTCAGACTGGAGTTCCCCTCTCGGTCAACTTCGACAGTCCCGAAGATTTTTTCATCTTTATTTTCCAGCTTTTATTCGCCACAACTGCGGTTCTTGTAGCCGGACCTGTTTTCCTTACCATACTGTCCACCAGAGCGCTTCGCCTCCAAAATAGATTTATTTTCATGCTCAACACCAGTATTTGTGATACGCTGGTTGGGTTTTCAGTGTACTATCTTGGTCTGTTTGATGTTCAGGAGGGATATCCGTCTAGAAATGGCACTTATAACATGTTACCCTCTCTTCTCGGTGTTAACATAATGACATTTTTATTTGCACAGTTTGACCGATACTTTGCTGGCCTGTTTGTCATCCAGTCATCTACACGCGCTTTATAAGCGCGAAGAGTGGGTATCTCCTGCAAATGCCTATTGTTTCTTCAATGTCTATGGCTCAGTCCAACCGTTTGTATGGCTTCCTGCCAATTTCCAAAATCAATCAGCTGTAATGTTGTCAGTATTGTTCACCTTTACAATAATGGTGCTTCACGCCAAAGTCTCCATGACCATGCAAAGACTGTATGTTTTGTGCCAGGCGTACCAGCAGAGAGAACGCCTCCCCAAGCGCCAGAGAGAGAAAACAACCAGGAGTCTTTGCAGAATTAATCATTTTTGTTGTCCATAAAGCTTCTTGTGTGATGTGGGCCCCTCTTTTGTGAAATATCGTCCTCTCAGCTGGTCTTGCGATAGGAAACGGGGCCTGACATCTTAGAAACGAAAGGCGCAACCCAATAGTTTTTGGCCATCATGGTCGTTGTAAAACGCTGGTGCACACCCGGCGGTGCACTTGTGGGGGAGTCCGGCCTCTGAGAGAAGCCACAGTGAGGACAGTGTGGCCCCCAAGAGTGTGTCGCGAGGGTTGCAACAGGAGGGTAAGAGGTTCAAGATAAATGGTCTCATGCTGGAATAAAGATGCACCTGATTCTCCTACAAACTGCATAAGGCAGGCTTGTTTATTCTCGATCCTGTGATAAGGAAGCTGCATGACAATGACCGGAAAAGAAAAAGACCTTAAACTGAAATTAATTAAAGAATAAATATAATAATCATGTGTATTTCACAGTTTTAAAAGCATCCTTTCCTGACCATGTCAGGCCTTTACGTTTACAGTGCCAGTAATATAAACCTTTGCCTTCCTTACAAGATTGTTCCTCCTTATGAAACGAATTAAATTTTACA